TAACTTTCTATCTATAAGTTATTTGATTTGTTAAACTAATGCAACGTAATATACTACGTTATTGAATAATAAAAAATAAGGTACCAATAGGCTGTAAATTTGGCGAATTGTTCAGCTTAATCGCGGTGATTTTTTCCCTACAAGTTTTATTTGCCGCACATAAAATAATTTTAGGTAGGTGTGCAATATTTGCGAAATTTTACCGCACTTATAATTATTATAGATATATTACCTCTGTGGGGGACGGACAGAGTGTTTACAGAGTGGTGACGTCATTGTGACGTCATTGTTAGAAATACACACAACGTGTGTTATTATGGGTGAGTAGTATTTGTAGCCCGATGTTTCTTAGTATTTTGTGATTTTAAATTTGTAATTATATTTTTTCAGGACGATACAGAAGGAATATAATATATTATGTAGTGCCCGATCCTTTTCTCGTCCTAATGACCTAATATGGTGTTTATCTTGTATATATAAAGTAGGGGAGCTGTGTGGTCAACATAGAACGATATTAGATGGTGCAACCTGGAGGAGGATAACATGGTAAGAATTATTGTGAACATTGTAAAAATTAGAGCTAAAATAACAGCAAGGTAGAGGTTAGGATGTATTTCCAAATGTATTGATCATGTTTAAACATCACACTGTTTAATTCACGTAATGTGTACATGACAAAAGTAAACCATTGCACGGTTTGGAGTGATTGTGTAATGGTTTGAACAGCTGTGTAAATGTATAATTCTGGAGATACAAGGGAGGGTACTACCTCTACAATTACCTTAAATACACGCTAGATAACCACCTCCACAGGGCGTGCCACTGATTAATTGACAGGTCCCAAAGTTACCTGGCTCTCATTACTTATCACGTGGGCAGTTTCAGAGATACCACGTGGGCAGTTTGACGGTTGGCACGTGGGCAGTTTCAGGGATACCACGTGGGCAGTTTGACGGTTGGCACGTGGGCAGTTTGAGGGATACCAAGTGGGCAGTTTGACGGTTGGCACGTGGGCAGTTTGAGGGCTGTTATCCTGTCACTAATTACCTATATTAACCAGCTAGATAACATATTATTACAGAAAAACTTCTCCCATATGATAAAACTGCTCGCGATTTCCAAGTCTGTTATATTAATATGTGATAATATCTGGTTTATAGAGTAAGTTTAAGGGCTGATTCTTACAATGGTCAGCACCTTTGCTCGGACTAACCCGGCAATATAGCACTGTACAGTGTACAGTAAAAACCTATTAACTTATCCTTGTTTAAAGCCATATTTTGGTAATCTGCCAAGATTATTCATATTTAATTTTGTTGAAAGAATAGTTGGGAAGGACGGCAGGTTGAGATAATGGGCTCTAAAAAGATGCGATAAACACTTGTTATATTTGATATTTAACACTAGTCACTAGCAGAACAATTTAGCTTACTTATCCCAAATATTCCTAGCAACAAATTGATGGCTAAGTTCCAAACAGAATTGGTGCTACCCCAGCTCTAGAAATACCCCAAATAATTCAGGAGACTGGATTTTTTGTAAAATTTGATTTTTTTGTCCCAATTACGCCCAATTATGCCAAATCATCTTAACATGCTCAAAACCCAGATTTAGGTACTCTACTTGAATTGTAGTTAGTGGTACCTTGAACTCGTATATGAATTTTCATCAAGATTGGACAAAAATTGACTGAGTTATGAGCTAAAACCCATATGCCCATATTTGGGCATACGCACCAAATTTGATCGATTTTGGCCCATAAATTGGTCAAATATAATTATTTTTTATAATCAAATATAATTATTTTTTAATATATAATAGATATTTGATTATCAGCTCAATATCTACCTAACTTTAGAAGTGTAGATTCGGTGTTCAAATAATCGCAAAAAATGCCCGGCAAATTTCATAATTTGGCCGCCAAATATTTTAGAGGCCTTACTCAAAATTCCACTCCAAAACTTAAGGTCATCATGCAATTCTACGTTGATTCTGAAAATTTCATGAACAAATATTGGAACGCTATTGAGCTCTATTGTTTTGAGCGAAATCAGTTCGCGAATATCGCGAACTGAGATATAGGCGATTTTGTTCATTTTTTAGTTAACTAGTTAATTAGTTGATTTAGATTGCAGCTCCTTAAGTGTATATTATTCAGCTCTTCACCAGGTGATTTGTTAACCTGCAGGGAGAAATCCTATGTCCAGACCTCTATTATATAACATGATAACTGCTGAGTGCTAGTGTTGTGTATAATATTTAGCCCATCCCCCTATTTACAATAATTACCACAGTACATAATATCCTGCAATAATACAATATACTGACCACGCCTTCTCAGCTCCTCCTTACTACACCATCTTAATAACACCTGGAGTAATATGTCTGGAGGGGGATATTTAAAACATATAAGTGATACGAAAGGATTTTATTAGCAGGAGCTTTCAAAATACTTGTGTAAATCGTCTTCAGTAATATGATACATGTCACATGATGATGATATGTACTATATGAGTAAATGAGACTAGAAACCAGCTCAATACTTCAATCATGCTATCATTGCCATCACCTGATTGAATAATATTACTGAGCTTTCTAGAGAGAGTGAGATTTACATTTGTTCACTAAGAGTGAAAGAGTGTGAGTCTTCTGGCGTGGAGCCAGAATCTTACTTTGTAAAGTACTGCTTCTTTAAAGCAGACAGAGATCTCTGATATTATCTCCTCTACATTGTACCATATCTTACATATAATATACACATTATATAATATATATATCATAATATATATTATGCTGCATCTGCTCGGTATTCAGGACATGTTTATACGAATTAGCTGGTATTTCCCTCTGTTTTATTATTCTACATATTATTACTACTCAGGTATATAATTATTATCTACTACTAACGATATCTACCAACACAGCAGCATGCTTTACATTGCTATTTATATTGCTATTCGTATACCAAATTAAAATCATTTTAACAGATTAATAAATATAATGTTGTTCCAACAGCAGTTTATTTAATTTCCTGCAGTGAAGGCTGTGTGACCTGGCTTATACACACAGAGAATTATACAGCAGAGAGACTCACTGTTACTTACCCGTGTAAGCGTGTAACCTTTATGCTTGCTAATGAGGTCGAGAGGATAATATGGAGAATAGTAATAATATGTTAGTTATAATACGCAGTAAAGAGGGTAGTCGCATTATCATTGAAGACTGGTGTTGGGAATCCTGAGGCCTGATTCTTTGACGAATGTAACAATAATTTTTTCATATATTTTCATAATATATCCATGTTATCCATGGTTATATAATAACATATAAAAACGCACAGTGTACAAACTGTAATGATCACATACAAGCTGTAATGATCACGTACAAGCTGTAATGATCACGTACACGCTGTAATGATCACGTACACGCTGTAATGATCACGTACAAGCTGTAATGCGAATTAAGGAATTGCCACCCTTGCCCAGTTTCCCACCCTCGTCCCACCTCCATCAAAAGAACACCCCTACCCGGCTACCCCAGCCCCTGGTTGGAACCAGGTTAAGTTGCACCTCCATAACAACAAAGCCAACATGTCTATCATTAAGGTGTAATTAACTCTTCTAAACGTGAGTGGTTTGTTCGACTGGATTACTGGACAGGGATGATTCTATTTACCTGGGTAAACACACACCAACTTAAATCGTGTGTGACCAGGTTAAATGGCTACCGGACAACTTTACCCAGTTTGGTCATATCCGAGACAAGGTAGCTTGGTGAAATAATTATAAACCCAAGCTAACTGAGCCGATAATTGCCAATTGGTATCACAATAAACTGTCAGATTATTGGGATAGAGATATTATCTCTCATAATAGCTCCCTAGTATCTCCTCTACAGTATTTAGTATCCGAGGGAACACACAGCAACTAAAATAGAGTCACGTGACATGACCACATTTAATAGTTAGGTGAGTAGATAATTGGTATTACAATGGACCTGGCGAGTGTCCGCTTGAAGCTGGTGATTCCTGAACATTCTCTTGAGCCTATATCTTCATTTGTAGATCTTAATGAGTGAAGTGAGCGGGATAACCTAATGCTATTGTCTTATCTGACGTTGTGAAAACACGTGGGTATATATTGTGTGTAGAAATTACAATACATATCGTATTATCTGATCACAAGTCTATCAAACTATATTCTGAAGACTGAAGAGTTACAACACGCCGGCTGCTATATTCTGAAGAAAGCCAGCACGCCAGCCCGCAGAGCTTGCAGGGCAGGATCACGCCAGGTACACATGGTTTGGAGGGCAGGATCACGCCAGCAGTACCGCAACGAGTGCTCTACACTCCACACGACATGTTGTACAGAGGGTGTGTACATCACGTGCCAGTATATTATATCACGTGGTATCCAGCCTCACCCTGGTAACATTATAATGTAGTGAGGTGTAACACTAGCAGCACTAGTCCCTAGGTTGTATGGAATATGATAAAATACGCCATTACCGATCGGGAAATTGAGCGGCCATCCACAAAATAAATGTAGTCTAACATTTAGTGTAACTAGTACAGTATTAGTCACTTGTACTTTGTAGTGTTCACATAACTTAGTGTCATGTTTCGTGTGGGCACCGCCTTCTTATTTGTTACCACGTGCTTATCCATACATAGCACGTGTCTATAATTTTAAACAAATCAGCACGTGTCATGTTTTAGTCCTTCTTTAAAACCAATCCTTATCATATCAACTAAACACAGATAAATGACACATTAGCAGTGCTTTTGTGCCCCTTATCTTTGTTAGACACACTTCAAAGGTATATAGACCGTGACACGTGATAGGTCCACTTAATTCAATTAACGATAAGCCACATTCTAAGATATATTACATTAGCACACGTCCTCAAAGGTTTCGTGGTTTAGGAAGAGTTTGACAGTTGTCTGGGTAACACAGCTAGTTGTCTGGGTAACACAGCTAGTTGTGTGGGTAACACAGCTAGTTGTCTGGTAACACAGCTAGTTGTCTGGGTAACACAGCTAGTTGTCTGGGTACCACAGCTAGTTGTCTGGGTAACACAGCTAGTTGTCTGGGTAACACAGCTAGTTGTCTGGGTAACACAGCTAGTTGTCTGGGTAACACAGATAGTTGTCTGGGTAACACAGCTAGTTGTCTGGGTAACACAGCTAGTTGTCTGGGTAACACAGCTAGTTGTCTGGGTAACACAGGTACAGCTAGTTGTCTGGGTAACACAGCTAGTTGTCTGGGTAACACAGGTACAGCTAGTTGTCTGGGTAACACAGCTAGTTGTCTGGGTAACACAGCTAGTTGTCTGGGTAACACAGCTAGTTGTCTGGGTAACACAGCTAGTTGTCTGGGTAACACAGCTAGTTGTCTGGGTAACACAGCTAGTTGTCTGGGTAACACAGCTAGTTGTCTGGGTAACACAGCTAGTTGTCTGGGTAACACAGCTAGATGTCTGGGTAACACAGCTAGTTGTCTGGGTAACACAGCTAGTTGTCTGGGTAACACAGCTAGTTGTCTGGGTAACACAGCTAGTTGTCTGGGTAACACAGCTAGTTGTCTGGGTAACACAACTAGTTGTCTGGGTAACACAGCTAGTACAGGAAAGTGTTTATACAGGGAGAAATGAGATGTTTACAGAGTGTAAATACGTCACATGATGACATATCACATGACATATCATGCGACAGATGGAAATGGTGTATTGAGTTTACTGTGGTATGTTTGTTGACACGTGGTAACTTCACCTAGCAGTTCTGGGTGGTTTGGTTCAGGGGACATTACACACGGCCCTGTGAGGGACAGTCGTCAACGTATACGTATTATATACTATATTGATACATTAATGATGGAACATCACGACGGTAACGCTTAAAACGTTACCCTAAATCTTATCCTTACTCTTTCCGGGTTTCAACCTAACCTTACGCATACACCCAAAAAAGAATTATCACCGAAAACCAAACCGGGAAGTATCTGAACTAGAGGAGAAGGAGGAGGTCCGTACACTGGTACAGATATATGTTCCATTTATATTTTACAGTATTGAGAGGAAAATCGTCGAATTTCGAGAAACATTGTTATAATTATCAAATAATATTGCCAATAAAATGGCACGTGCGGTCTGTAATCTCTGTAATAAACAGTACGGAGTGATTTTAATTAGTTATTAATTACAGTAAGCAGGGAGGAATGTGCGGCCGGGTGGAACTGGGAGTGTAGTGTGCCTCCTCCCTACTGTTATCAAATACAGATCCTAATCTTCAGTCTTAATTAGGTTACTTAATTACGTGTGTAAAGGTCTGCTGCAGGAGGAGCCTCCCATTAGGTTCTACTCTTAATTAATTTATTTGTTGTATCCCTAAAATTAAAGCTAGTATTTCACATGACCCGCGTATGACGGCAAAGTTGAGCCGTTGCCAGGAGGTCGTTAAACATATCAACGAATTGTGGCTGGAGGCGCAAAAGAGCGGTTTCTGCTTAGTGGCTGGCGACCGCTACCTCTCAATAAGGCTTAATCTCTGAGCTATATATATGGGACATCATGTGCTGTAGGCCAACTGTATAATTCTTTAAGAGCTAAAGCAAGATAAGATTGAATGATATTATGTTCTTTGATGGTTTGCTGGATTGATAAATAATAAATACACAGCAATCTAAATCAAATTTTTGATAAATAAAAACTTGTTTTATAGATAGTACTACATCATAAATCATATAATTATATATTTCTTTTTGTTTGTTTTTAAAGTTTAGAATTTATAACAGACAATAATTAATGTTTAAATGTTTTATAAAAAAGAATTTACTACGTAGTCTTTCTCCAGAAAAATGAAAATCATATTAAAACAAAATGCCCTCTAATCGAGCGCATGTAAATTATACACACACTCCAAGATAAAATTACATATTATTAAGACGAATACTCCTAGATTAAGGGAGCCAAACGAGACCATGCACTCTTACATACACCTATATCTATATAATTACTCATGATGCGAATCTTGTGACCACAATAAAAGGTAGATCTAATTTAACTGATGATATAACTCGGATAAAATCTAACATTATATAGCTTTGTAAACAAAGCCACAAGACCTCAAACCGTACTACATATAATTATGTTATGTCTGAATAATATAATATCACTGGAGACTCGTCCAGATGTGCAAGTATTCCACTGTCGCAGTTGCCAAGCAAGTATAATGTGCATGAGAGAGGCAATGTAAAGATGTGATGCTTGATGCTTGTGTATAAGATAATGATATTATATTAACACAAATTGCGCACTCATTTTATTGTTATAGTAGGTGATTTTATTCTAGTTGACGTAAACAAAAGATTGGTGTAGTGATCTATAATAGACCATGCTACGGTCACATGTTCGTTGTGCTGTGATTTAATACTTTATTTAATTAAATCTCACATAAACTAACCGGCGAATATAAAACTAACATAATCATTAATAACCCAATGTAATAACGTAATAGACAGGTTAGATCAAATATAAAATCAAATGGATTCAAAACAAGACAATATTAGAAAACATACAATAAAGCACCCACTAAAGTCATCACTTTTCCCTGACCAACTCCTCGCTCAGTTCCCAGAGTTTGGCAGCTTTTTCATTAGCTTTACGTGGCAATGTAGCTCCCATAATCTTACAGTCTTTAAAGAAGCCGCCACTGTAGTTCTTAACGGAAGGGTGTATGGCACAGAAGACTGAAGTAGCGGCTCCTTGTTGTACAGACTTAAACAGGAAGCTGAACATGCACATCAGCCAGTACACTATTTGCACATACTGGAACAAGTTAGTCAGTATAGCGCCAGGGTGGAGGGAGTACACGGTTACTTTAGAGTCGCGCTCGCGGAGCCGCGCGTTCAGCTCAATAGCGTGCAGTATCTGAGCTACCTTACTGTTACCATACTGTATCCACTTGTAGTATAAGGGGTAGAGGCGTGAGGTGGAATAGCGCTCACAGTTCAAGTCATCTAGTTTGAGGATGTTGAGGCGGTGACCCATACTACTGACATTGACCACTCTCCCCTCCTCTGCTGCTTCTAACTGAGGGAGCAGCAGGTTGGTTAGGAGGAAGTGGCCCAGGTAGTTCACTCCCAACTGTAACTCGAAACCATCTGAAGTCTTGAGATAAGGCGATGCCATTACACCAGCGTTGTTGATAAGAATATCTAATTTGTGGTAACGGGAAGCGAAGGTTCTCGAAAACTCCCTAACAGAAGCCAAGCTTGCTAGATCGAGTCTGATAACGTCTGTCTTAAACTCGGTCGGGAGAGATGCTACAGCTTGCTGTGCCTTCTCCACATCTCTACACGCGAATACCACCAGAGCCCTCTGTTTACAGAGCACCCTGGCTGTCTCCAGCCCCAGTCCGGTGTTAGAGCCGGTGATGATGGTGATGTAGCCGGTCAGGTCCTTGGAGGGCAGGACGTCCTCTGCTGTGGTACTCCAGTTTAGAGCCATCCTCTCACCTGCTAGTACTGCATGTGTTCTGGGTGCGGTTATCTGGGGTTAATGGTCTTTTAAATCATTTCAGCTTCACATATTATTGGGTATTAGTTTTTTAGGATTCGATTTTGAGATCATGTTTGGTGAGATAATTTTGTGAGGTATAGACTTTTTATTCAAAATGCTCATTATTTATAATGTTTTCTTTTCTGACTGTTTGATTTTTGTTTAACGTCTGTTTATGATTTTATTCTGCCTATCCGATAGTGGTCAGGGTTATTTTGGACACTTTCAACGACGAATAGTTCACAAACATTTGTTAAAATCTAAACAAATAACATAAATCTGCTTTAGATAAGATGGACTTGGCAATTATACAATTCATCATGATATATACCGGTAGAGATATATTACGCGGCATTTCAAATATTAATTTATACAACTGTAACACTTAAATAACTTTTAATCTGAAAGGTAAATTGTCTTAAAATCTCATGTTCATATCGTTATTTAGGGGGTGCCAAAACTGTTTTAGTCTACGATAGGTCTCATGAATTTATGTTTACACTGCTGTTTCAATTTCTTATGAACTATCAAAACTATGTTTTATGTCAGTTTTTCCATAGTGATACAACCACTGACAGAACAGAAAGGCACGATGGGTATTTTACCGGACGTTTTGTATTAGTTCAGCAATGTTTATAAAGTAACGTTTTGGCAGCCCCTATTATCAATATCATAAAACAACACCCGCTCTTGGAAAAGTCAGGTTCGGAATTTTGATATCGACGCTATAAAACTGTATAAAAGCAGGATAGTAATAAAAAAGACAGCAATGTAATAACAATGTAATGAGAAGAAAGGAGGATATATCTGTTTTGCAGGGCTAGCATGAACAAACGGCGACTAGCTTACATTTGGAACTTTGCCAAATTACAGACTTCAACTCTTGAGCTATAAGAGAGTACGTGATGAAATAAGTAGCTCCGAGTCAAATTACAAATGTTAAACTCTTGAGCTTTAGGAGAGTGTAATGAAAGTCTAACATTCTAATCCCGTGTAGCACTTATTGTTATATGACTTTTACAGACGTCTCCTTTTAATGGTGTATAAAGAAAGAAGTATCTAGTCTAGTAGCGTCTAAAGAACAGCCAGCGAGGAGATATCAGTCTGACAGGTGTCAGCTAACTTCATGTTTAAGTGGATGTATCTCAGAGCGGATTGGTTAAAAGATGTCACGTGTGCAATCTCCCCACCTTCTCATCAAACAGATTTAAAATTGAGTGCCGGCACATCTGCTTCATGATATAAAGATCTAGTGAATATACGATAAGGGCCAGGTTTATAGATCAAAGATTTCAGCACCAGTATTATATCTAAGATTACAATTGATTACATGAAATTTAATTGACACGAAGTACGAACTGAAGTTCGATGTTCAATTTGTAAAACCTTTGAAAATCTGACTGAATATGCCTAAATCTAAAATATAATCGAGGCTGATTTAAAATTCTATTGCCTACAAGAGTACAATTACAGGCGCTACCGGCTACATCATCATATAATCTTTTACAGTCTAACCTTCAACCCGATGATAAAAAACTATTACTCAATAACAAAAACAGTTAAAAACAATGATTTAAAATTTTTCAATAGCCATGTCTCTCGGCCAAAGCAAATTTTAAGAGTTGGAAACTTTGACCAGCAAAATAAAGGTCGGGTCATCAATGAGCAAAGCCCCACCCTATCTGGAGGTAATTTAACTACCATCTCAGCGATAACCAACAGTGATAAAAAGCGCTAGAAAATATGCGAAGCCAACAGCACACAATATACTCACACACAACAGGTCGGATTATAAATTCCAATTATATGTGCTGTGTATTGCACGTCTGTCAAAATACTTGCAACACAATACGACAATGCAGAATTTTACAGCACTTAATTAGGATTTGTTGGCGTCTCCCTGGTGTAGTGTTGTGGCCGAGAATAGGAGTGTACAGATCAGTCAGCCACTAACTGCTGAGTTTCCAAAGTGCAGAAATTATCAAAATGTAAGACAGGACTGACAGCTCTCTCCAAATATGCAATACAATAACTTTCACGCCTTCGCCACGTGCACAACCGAGGGTCAGTACCAAAACAAAGACATCACGTCATTCTTGTGCGTCAGGAGGCGCGCTATCACTGGTACGCAAGCTAGGCGATGCCAGAAAGTTGTATTGGGACTGGGTGACCGAGAGTAACATTGCGATTGTCTATCTGATCATGTCTCTGAAGAGCTAGTAAACTGTAGGGGGGCACTAGTTCCTCATATGGGGGAGGCATTGTCCGGTTAGCTGGCCCACCGTCCGCAGCAATGTCCTCGTAATTCGGGGGTAACTCTGGGGACGGGGGCTTGGGTGCTGACATTTGTCGCTCCATGTAAAGTCTTCTGGTGACACGAACATAACTGGTAACGCGGCGTCTATACAAGTAGAACAATAGTCCCAACACAATCACCAGGGTAGCAACCCCAACTGATATGATGATGGAGTAGTTTGAGTTGAGCGCAGTGTTTTTGAAAGCATCATGAGGATCTGTCACATCATCAGAGCAGTTGGCACGACAGCACAGCGTATCACAAGGACACTGATACCCCTTCTCAAAACACGGTCCCATATCCTCTCCATTCTCATCAGCACCTAAACACTCACACTCCTCACACACTGTCTTCAAGTAGGACGCACCAAAGGGCACTACAGTTCCGTTGTAGTTCCTGCAGATGACGGTACTTTCAGACACCACATCGTAAAGTATTGATAAAAGGATGAGGAAGTGGCTGATCATGGCGGCAAAGCGACGTTCACATGACGAAGAGAAGAGAGGAGAGCAAGAGCAGTTTTCTTAGCCACTGATTATACCATTCTTACCTGGTTAATTAGACTGATTAGAACAGATCATAGTAATGCGGCTAGAAAGTCAAAGATTTATTTTTGGTGGGAAATTCCATTCAAAGTGTATTTTATGAACATAATTGACTTATTTCTCATTTTGAAGTAACTTTGTAATTATCAGAAGGATTGATATTTAATTTTCTGTACTGAATTGATAGGAGCCGACATTTGATCCTTTTTGATGTGTCAACAGAGTGCAGTGTGAGGTTACTATAATACATCAACACTTTAAACCTACCCCCGGAATTGTCATCACTCTCCAGCTTTTACAGTTGTGATATTACTCTAAATCTCCCGGCTTTAAGTAACCTACCCCTTAAGGCACACTCCAGGCTTACATCATGTTGGTTCACCACTACTTCACTAAGGTCTTAAAGCTTGCATATCACCGTATATTACCGCATATTACCGCACATTACCGTTTATTACTACCGTGTTCTTCTCTAAGAGTGCACTTCCCTCTCACGAGCATTAAGTGATTAACTGATTAGTGGACTGTATAAGACCGTTATGAAGGTCATTAGACGCTACATGCTGTAACGTCAGGAAGTAATGATCATGTAGTTGGCGGGAGTGTTGTGTTACTATGGCAACTGAGCAGACAGGCAATAGAGGATCACGGATCTACTCCTAGCAATACTAATTATAGCAGGTATCTATATAATAAGTAGACAAGCCAGTGCAGTGTTTTAATTTTGATATTGATTGGAGCAATAAAACAGCAATTGAATAGTAATTGATTGAAGTAGATAAATAATTTTCAACTACAGGTAATATAGGTTACATACTTTTTCGTAAAAAATCGGGTGAAGAAGTTACAGTTTGGAGCACTACCGAGATTTAGATCGAATGCAAGAACTCAATAATTAAAATAAGAACCTTCAAACAACAAGAAATTTACTCAAATTTGTTAATGAAAGTAGGTTTTCGAAAGCTCCAGCTTCGTTGTACGCAATATTGACGACTAAGTACAAAAAATAATAATTTAGTTCCTTAAATAAGTTTGAACTTCAAAATAAGTAAACTCACAGTGGAACAACACCTAGGATTGAAAGTGGCACGAAATCGTAAACATGTACAAAACAGCAGTTAGGTGTTATACGTCAGTTACTTCGCTACTTTTTCTGGGTTATATCACTCATTGACTTATTTGACATGTTCAGTAAGTCGTTGAAGCCGTATTACAGCCTTAGTGGCGAGGTTATTTTACGTTACTATCATGTAGGCTGCATCTTATTCTTGGAACAAGGTATGTCTACACTCTGAGCTAGTCATTAAATTAGATCATTTGCATTTTTAGGGTGGCAAAATAAGGAACATTCTGGCTCATGGAACTTAACTATAACAAATAATGTTTACGATTTCAGACTTTAGATCACATCAATTATACTGCAACAATAATGTGCACCTTATTACAGTCACACTCTTCAAAGTATGAAACTAGCTGACATCGTATCAAGTAAACTACCCCAATAAAAACAACAATATCATTACATAATATGAATAGTAAACATATCACAATTATTAACTAATCAAAAACACAAATTAGTGAACCGAAGTTCGAGAGACGAGGCAAACATTTATCATTAATTATAACTATATTAATATTACATTTTTAATTAATGAGAATATGCAAATATTTTGGAGTAGTTCTGTTTCTGCAGCGGTGTCGTTAGGTTGGATATTTAGATATTAACAGAACACTAAGGCAAATAACCAACGTTTTCTTTTTATCCGAGGCATAATTTAAAGAAACTTCAAATTTTTAAGATTCAGTGCTAAGGGCTAGCCCGGGCTCAAACGTGTTTTAGAAAACATATTAAAACTAGAAGATTAGACCATTGAACCATTCTTATTATGCCATTCTGCTGTATTTCTATTGGTCAACAAGTGGTCCCAGAATTGTCTACACTAATTTGCGACAAACTAAACATTCACATCATAAAACATGTAAAAACATTCGATGTATCAAAAAAGCTCTCTAATCTTAAGATTCAAAATTCCATAATACTGATACTGTATACAATCTCCAGTTAAAAAACACAGTTGCAAAAATTTGTCCTACGTGACCTATGATTGACCTAATTAAATCGTTTCTAACTCACGGCTGAGGCACTCAATACTCAAGATCAAAATATGACCGAGGAGAATATCCACACAAAGGTTAATTATACATAATTTCACTATAAGTCTGTTTTCATATGGGGGAGTTTGTTCTATCTTGGGGAACATCATACTGCCTATTAGCCAGCTCCTCCATTTGAGTGTCTTGGCTTCGCAGAGTTAATCGGGTATAATTGTTTTGCTGCTTAAAATCGTTGGTGGCAAGTGGAGCAGGCATAAACGTAGGTTCAATATCCGTTTCTGATTCTGACTCGTCCCCATCTTCACAACCACTGTCGAAGTTCCTTGGTCCCATTAGGCTGAGGATACAGGGTAACAGCAGCAGGGGTATGTTAAAGGCAGTGAAGGAGACACTGAGGAAGACGAAGCAAATGTAATTCCTGATGAATGGGATGGATGTAAAAGCGAGAGGTACGATGAGAATGAAGAGCGAGAAGACACTGCTGAATACTGCAGGGAAGGTTTCTGACAAGGTTTTCTTTGCTCGCTTTTTCCTGTCATTGACAAGGCCGATGAAGCTGTGTATAACGAAGATAGAGTGTTGCACAACAATGGCGATGCTTAGTACCAAGGGAACAAGAGAGAATCCATTGAAGTTAATGCCAAGCATCCAGAAGGAACCAAACACTTGGAATATCCCAACAATCATGCAGAGTGCAATGAGAAATGCAGCATTCAAACTGCAATGGAATATGGTAATAGGAATGACAATTCCAACTAAAATGCAGCCACACAGCAGTGCTAAATTCTGCCTTAGGTTGACATACAGTCCCCAGAAACCAAAGATGAATCCATACACGAAGGTTTTGAAAGTGGGAGTATTCATATCATCAACTGAATTCCGGACGGCATTAATGGAATCTATCATATTTTCGTGTGTCCTGAGTCCTTTCATGTAGATACCTGTCCTCGTGGCAACGAGGGTACTTTCCGCATCTCTACAATCTGCCTTTGTGTCAGTGGAAGGGTTAATGCAAGACAGAGCAGGCAGAGAAATGTGTCCAATGTTTCCTAGCCAATCATCTAGACGCCATCTAAAGTCATGCGTAGCAAGAGGGACACTAGCGTTTATGGTTGGGAGATAATCACTTTGTAGATTAAGTACATTATCAGGCCTGAAGAGAGCATCATCTTGAGATATAAAAGTGATGTCACTTACGCTCGCAGCACCAGATAAATCGAGATTTTTTACAAAAGCAGACTGAGTTATCTTATTTTCAACCTCCTGGCTGAGTTTTGAGAATCCAGTGAGAGATGCCCTTCCGTCAGCTAACCAGTCCCATGCTTTAGGGGGAGGGAATTCCACCAACCAGTCATTCTTTGCAAGGTTGTCGTACACATCCATGTTTTGCTGTTGATCACTGGCATACTTTGTACTCTGTGTGACTATGTATGAAGAATACATTTCAAATTGCTCCTCGTTGATCTTTGCAAATGAAGCTTGGTATGATCCAGGTTTTGCCACATCGCTCATCATGAGCCCATCATTGGTCATCTGCAGAGTGACATAGGCAGTTCCACCTGTGAAGATGATGAAGAAGGCTATTATGAGAAGTCTCATCACTTTGTTTAGGATGATTGGTCCATAAATTGCGTTAGCAAATTTGCTCAAAAGGCTCTGCTTAGTAGTAGAATGTCGTATCGTAGGGTAGTTTTTGAACAGATCTTTGGTTTCAGTGAGGAATGATTTCTTTGGTGGTTTTCCATCCTGCCTTTTAACAGGTATGCAGTCCATACGGTTGTCCTGTGTTCTTTTGCAGTTCCATACCATAGAGGGTACGAAGATGAACATCTGCAGGAGAAACGCCATCAGGCAGATGGCAGCCATTTGTACACATAAGCTTCTAAATCCTGGTATGGGAACATAAACACCACAAAGGAAACCACATAGGAGAGTGGCAGTGATGACAAAGATGGCGTGACCTCCAAACTCTATGGTAGCAACCATGTTGTCCTCAACAGGCTTATCAGTATCTAACCTGCTGTTAAATGTGAACATTAGTATGTATATATTTCCAATACATAGAATGAAACCAGCGAGTTGAACAAGGACTGAGAGTGACATAGCAGGAACTCCAATGAAGCCAAGGATTCCAGAGGATCCTACCACTGCTAATCCTGAGACAATCATTCCAATGATCATTGTGAGAATATTAGAATTAATGCATTTGTTTGAGAAACTTCCCATAACAACAAATGAGTAGAGGAACATTAATGCAGCACCTAGAATCAGAAGGTGCATCTCTGGAGCACCACTGTCAACAGCCATATCACTAGTTGACCTGTCAGTGTGTAAATCAACCTGCACACTTTCATACCTTTCACCTGGTCCAAATCCTGTTCCATTACCACCTTGACGAAGAGAATTCAAGTAGTGTATGGTTTTATTCTCCCATTCTACAATAAGGCTCTCCAGTTCCTCAGGATCATCAAGACCATACTTTTCTTTCATTTCTTTTATCCACAATGGATTATTGGAAGGCTGAGCAACAACTGGATTGCGAACAGATTTTACTCCAGTCCATTTGTCAGTGTTATTTTCATCAAATATCTTATGGCCCATGTACAACTCTTGGCCCACATCAGAGCCAGCCCATGTTGTGCAGCACCGAGGGATCTCACCTATTTGTGATTGCTTGATACAATTTTCAATTCCATAGTTAGGGTTGTTGATCTGCTCATCTAAAGACTGTTTGACATGGTCCACCAAATCTTGATCTGTTTTAAAATCATGTATGGAGTACTTCCAGTCATAACCAAAGGCAGTGAAAATCAGCCATGTAAAGGTTTCAAGGAGGTATCTTTCCCTTGCAGCGTTATAGGCAGAATCTGGAACAGCAAGCACATC